CTCCAAGGGCAGTTCAAATTTATAAAGTATGAGTCAAAAAATACCCGAACAATTGCCTCTGAATTCCTTAGTAGGCCCAGGGCAAGGACTGGAAAGAGTGGATGTTTGTAACGAACAGATAAGAATTCTTTGCTATTAGCACATCTGCCGTTCTCAGCTCTAGAATACAGCAGGAGGCCTGGGTGATCCTGGAGAAGTCACACACCCTGCAAGCTCTGGCTCTTCCCATCTGTAAAAGATGGGTTTGGATGATGTGGCCCCCGAGACACATTCTAGCTCTAAAAAATGTCTTCGAGTCTATCCCCAGTGGAAGCATCTAAAGTACCTGAGAAGTTTGCTCACTTAACTAGGAATTAACATCCTTCTTCCTCGGATCTTGTCTGGCAGACCCACTATTTGCTTAGCTTCCCCGTAGATGGTGGAAAGCTACATTTCTGCCATATCCCTGCTTGAGTGATGACGGAATTCTCAGCTCACGGGCCCCAAATGAACCATTTCCCAATTTTGAATTCGTGTGTCCCAGATGAGTGAGGTTTGGCCACATTCTAATACATCTTGGGTAGAAACTGTCTACGAGAAGAAATATCATCATAACTACTAGACGAAAGGTGTTTTCAAGACACGTGTGCCCTCCCTGGGTTTTGTGCATGCTGGCAAACGGTCCTGTCTGCAGGGCATGGTCCTCTCTGTGACACGCTGCCCACGGCCACACACATGGAGGGAGAGCTCCAGCCAAATGCCTGCCTGGTATCCACTTACGGCTCAGCATGCCAGTCCAAAACTTTTTTGTTGTTTTTTTAAACTTGGAAGAAACCTCAAGTGAATAATCTCATGTGCTATTTGATTCATGTTTAATGTCCTTGGGAAGAAATAAAAACAGTAAGTCACCCTCAATAAAATGGCATTAGCCCGGCTGAAACGCCAGGCACAGAAATGGTGATGTGCCTGCTGCCCCTGGGTGGCCCCAGCAGCTACAGTGTTGAGTTGTCATTAGAGAGTGTGTTTATAAACAGGAGTGGGGACAGCTCATAAAAACTGTCCTTTGCCATTTTTATCCTTTAAATCACACACCAGAAGCCACAGATTCTGCAGGGTGAGCTTGGGGTAAAGCACAAACCCACACACAGGAAGCGTCCATCGGCACGCATCATGGAGCACCTGCTGAGCGCAAACCACAGGGCTGAGGGTTGGGGATACACAGAAGCACGAGCTGGCCTCACAGTGCTTCTGGTCTGGTTGGGGAAGGCAAGGCGTGAATTCCTTCTTTCCTTCTCCTACACCAATTCAGTCCCCATTCTGAGCCAGGCACTGCGCTTGGGTGCTGGGTGGCAGACGCATGGCGGCGTTCCCAGCTGAACCGACAGACTCCCGTCCTCAAGCTTTCAGGCTGGGCCCTGGGCTTTTCCCGATCCTTCTCCCCAAGGACATATGGCTGGGTTCCATTTACCCAGGGCGCAGCTAGGTAGGAATACTCCCATAACCACTTAGCACCACACCCAAAATGCAGGAAGTACGCAGCAATTGTTTGATGAAAGGAAGGAAGGAAGGAAGTCAGCGAGGGAGGGAGAGAGGGACTGGCTGATGGGGCCTCCTTCCAGACAACTCCAGACCCTGCTCGGAGCCAGCTGGCTGGATCTTTGGCCCATGGAGAATTGACCAGCGCACCCTCTGAGCGTCCCCCTTCCTTGCCCCACCAGGTCTCCATGAGGGTCTTTCTGACCCAGATAGTCTCAAACTTCAGTGAAAGAGCCAGTTTCCTGGAGACCCACTGAGGTCCTAGGAATGTCCAACAGAGCAAATATTTGTAAAGCATCTTCTACGTTCCCTCTGATCACTTCTAAACTAAAAATTTGCCCATGGGTCTGATAGTCCAAGAATATTCAAGGAGTCAACAGGAGAGAAAATGTGAAATCTGGGCTGTCCCAGAAACTCTAGACCGTGTGCCTGGATCGTGCTGGATACCTTGGGAAGGGAACTCCCACGTTCGGTGTGGACACCACCTGGAGGGGCTGGAGACGTGGGAGGGTGGAGCTGCAGCAGGCTCAGGCCTGGCCCGAGGCCCATGCACAGGCACAACATGTCTGGGAGCATGGCTGCCTGATGGATCCTCATTGTGGAGCCTCTGCTCTGTCCCACCATGTGGCCCTGTGCAAAGACTGACCGGCAGCTCGGCCCCCTTCCTTTTCCCTCCGCCCTTCATCTCCCAGCCAGGTGGGCAGCCCAGGCTGGGTCTTGCTCACGTGAGATCCGGACACAGCACCTCACACAGAACCCAACGTTGAGCAGATGCTCAGGAGCTGCTGACAGGGGGGAGTTCCTCGGCAGAAGCCTGGCGGTCCTGGCCCTCCATCAATCCTGCGGTAGAAGAGGAGGCCAAGCCACCCCGTGTTCACCTGCAGCGGGGTGTGTGGGAGCGTGTGCATGAGGAAGCGTTGGTGCACGCCTGTGTGGAGTGTGTGCGAGCTCGTGCATGTGTGCACCTGTGTACATTTGCCACTGTGCTCATCAGGCAGGATCTGCCTCCTGTGGGGGAGGGTTGGGGCAGATGCCCACAGGAAATGATAGTGTGAAGTCAACCCAAGTTGCCCTAAAAATAACCCTCAACTTTCAACATCAGAAGGATTCTCTCTTTCCTGGCACCCTGCCCCTTAGGAGGCCACTTTAGGAAAGCCAGTGTGGACAGCTGTCTGAGATGCCCACCTGCGATCTGCAAACTAGTCAACACCATGCGGAGGCAGGGGATGGGGCAGAGCCCAACACCCACAGGGGAGATTAGTCCAGGGCCACACTGTCCTGCAGAGCCCCAAATCTCCATGCCCCTGTTAATCTAACATCTTCCAGAAAAACTTTTGGCTAAACATACCTCTGTGAACAACAATTCTCTTTTAAATGTGTGAGGAATGGTGATTTAATAGACCCAGAAGGTCCATCATACAGTGGGATTTTGGCCGCGCCAAGATGCTGCTTATACCTATTTTCCTTGTTGGGTCAGTGTCGCGAGTGTCACACCCCTCAGGTGTGACCTACACCCCCTCCCATCTGTCTCACCCCATCTTCTGGCCGCCCATCAACGCTGCAGGCACACACTTGCCACAGGCCCTTTACACGGGCTGCTTCTCTGATACAAACACGCTTCTTCCCTCACCTCCTGCAGGTCTTTGCTGAAGTCACTTCTCAGTGAGGCTTCCCCTATGTGTCCAAAACTGAAGCCCCAACATACATCCTTTACCCACCGCCCCTTTTCTGGCTTTATTTTTTCCCTGATTTGTATTATATTAAGTTCACTGTCTGTCTCCCCTTTAGTAGAACACCAGGCCCTTGGGGCCAGGCCTTATTCTGATTTGTCCGCCATCGGAAGCCCAGAGCCTGGCAGCTTGTCCAGCACACAGTGTTGAGTGAAGGGCGGCGTGGACGCCTGGGGAGGGAGCGGGAAGCTGCGGGGGAGGCCGGGGCTTGGGGCCTCAGCACACAGGTGCCCGGGGGGCAGAGAGACCATCACCTGACCCACCATGTCCATGGCCAACCACAGTCACTGTCACAATTATTTGATGACTAGAGGGAGGCAGGAGAGAGCAGGAGGAGCCCAGGCGCACAAGGGACACTGCACTTCCTAGGTCTGCTCTTTCATCGCCCTGGAGAGGGGGTTCTACCAACCATCCCACGCCTGAGACGTGGCGGGGGGCGCACATCCTAGGCCCCCACGCACCTGGCTCCCCACCTGGAAGCCAAACACTCCGTTCGAGAAGAGCAATGCCCAGCAGCTCGGCGGGAAGTGTCGGGAAGAAGCCTGTAGAGGACGGGCAACCGGCTCAGCCCCGGGGGCAGGGCCTTCAGCAAGGGGCTAAGCCCCTGAGGCCAGTCATATGGAACCAACAGGAGAGAGCCAGGAGAATGAAGGGGACGGGAGTCCAGGCCAGGGCACGGGCTGGGACAGCGCATTCCCATTTGGAAGTTAAAAGCCACCAGGGGCTGGGGATGGCTGGGAGGGTGGTGGATTCACATGGCCTGAGGTCATGCTAACTACTTTGGACTTCGTCCCAGTCTGAGAAGAGAGTCACAAGGTCAACTCCCATCAAAGACCACTCATCTGGCTGCGGGGTCCTCATCAGGAGGGCAAGGCACCCCCTCACGCCCTTCGCCCTCTTCACCTTCGCCCGCGGACGCCTTCACCTCCCACTTCATCTCCTGCCTCTGGGCTCCAGGGGCTGCTTCCCTGTCCTGCCCACGGCCATGTGCGCTTTGGGTCCAACCGCGCCGGGCATCTGGGGGCTCCCTCCTCCCAGCGCTTCCCAGCCTGGGTCCTTCTCTCCACACCCTTCACCTCAGCGTCCAGGGGGCTCCTCTCCCTGGGGCCTCCCCCCACCCCCAAGCCCAGGACAGATGATGGTGACGACCTGGCGCTGTCCTAGGGGCTGTTTCCTCAGCAACCTGTGAGAGTCGAGCATTGTCTTCTTTATTTCACAGGGGATGACCCTTAGGGACGGGACTTGCCCAGGGTCACACAACCCAGGTTCGGCCGACTCACCCTGTCTTCGTGCATCCTGCCACTTGTAGGACCCTTCACCAGGCCCCGTACAGGCACCAGGAGCTGGGCACAGCCACTGTTTGAACTCAAATCCCCACTCTCGGTTAGTGGCACCACATCCATCTGGTCAGGAACCAGAATCCTTGGAGGCTTCCTTGGCCCCCACCACACCCATGGCCCCACCTCTGTCTCACGCAGCCACTCAGTAGCCTCCTGGCTGGTCCCCACCTGCTGTGGTCTGGCCAAAGGTCAAGTGATTCACCCACAAAGACCTGGTGAGAACCTAAATGACCATGGACCTGGGTGGGTTCTTTTCATCTCCAAGCCCCAGTTTCCTGACCCGTCTGCAGTGCTGGGAAAGCTGCCCCCATTCTGGGTTTTCCTGCTTGTGGGCAGGACAGAGTATAGCAGAAGCCACCCCTTCCATCCTCGTCCTCATCCGCCTCAGGCCAGTCGGCCCCCAGGAGTGACTTACCTGAGGCCAAGTGGAGGTTGATAAGGAGCAGAGGTCAGAACCTCTGGGGGCTGGTTCCACGTCCTTGACCGGGCTGCTAGACCATGCCCCTGGAAGAGAGGACCGACAGGTCACACGGGATGTGGACGTCCCTGCCCACAGCCCACTGCCTTTCCCTCTGGTGGCCTCCATTGTGCCTGTCAGGGGGTCAACAGCTTTTGCAAGCCCCACACTAGGAACAGCATAGCTGCCGGCCCCCACCCAGTTGCTGCAGGCAGTGGGACATGCTCGCGGCCCCTGTGCCCTAAGGGTGGGAGAAGCCTGCAGGTGGGATGCTGGCCACCCCTCAGGTAGGGTTGCTGGTGATCACAAGCCTGCTATGGCCTCTGTGGTCTGCAAACACAGGTTTGAATCCTGACAGCATCAGTCCCCAGCCCAGTCACTGTGTCCAGGCCTAGCATTCTGCTCCCTGCAGGCTGTAAGGGTTCAGTGGAATCCTGCATACCCAGGCCTGGCCCACAGGAGCACCCACAGCCTGCACCAGCCCGTCAGGGTGCCTCCAGCCCCCACGGCTTCTTGCTTATCAACAGCACTGCAGGGTTGGTCCCTCATCGCCCCAGTCTCCTTGAGGCCCATGTCACCCCCGCCGTGCCATCCAGCAGCTCACAAAACCTCACGGTCATTGAGAAGGGAAATCCACACTGTTGGCATCCCAGGCCCGACCACTTCCCTCCTTACACCCTCATTGCTGGCTCTGACAGCCTTCCAGAAACCCTCTCCTCCTTGTAGGGCTGACTCTGATGGGCCTGCCTCTCCTTCTCTGTGAGCCTGCACCCTCCTGCATGTAATATGTAATAAAATCACTGTGGCTAACATCTCTATGCTAAAAGCTAAAAGCTTTCTATGCATTTGTTTACAATATCCAGTTTATTCCCCACAACAGCCCTAGGAGGTAGGCATAATTTTATCCCCATTATATTCTTACCCCCATTTTACAGATGGGGAAACTGAGGCTTAGAGAAGCGAATTACTTTCTCAAGGTCACGTATCCTCCAAGGGGGCAGAGTCAGTAAGGAACCCAGACAGTCCCGGGCCCTGGGTTTTTACTGTGTTTCCTGCTGGACAGCTCCTTCAAGACCTGCAGTCTCTCTTAAATGCCGTCTCTTCACCTGGGAGCCTGCTTTCTCCCTAATCCACAGCACATTCCCCAGTTATTTTCTCCCGTCGCATGATTCTCTCCCTCTGTAGCAATGATCATGGTTTATATACAGTCACTGGACCAAGCAGCTTGTCCACCCGGGGACATCCAGCCCTACACAGCGCAGGGTGCCAGTGGAGCTCCCCTCGCTCCAATGGAATGGGGAAGTCACATACCTTCCCACCAGAAATTCTCACTGGAAGGTCACTGTGCTTTTAGACAGTATCATATATATTTTTAATATTTTAAATAGACTTTAATAGAATATCTTAATAGACTTACTTCTGGGGGTAGTTTTAGTTTCACAGCAAAACTGATCTGAAAGTACAGAAAGTTCCCATATCCCCTGCCCTACACATGCACAGTCTCCCCGACTATCAACATCTCCACCAGAGTGGTCCATTTGTTACAGAGGATGACCCTATATTGACACGTCATTATCACCAAGGTCCACGGTTTACATTAGGGTTCCCTCCTGGTACTGCACATTCTATAGGTTTGGACAAATGTATGACAACATGTATCGACCTTTACAGTGTCCTACAGAGTAGTTTTACTGCCCTATGGGTCCTCTGTGCTCTGTCTTGTCCCATATTTTCTCCAGGCAGTTCCAAACGAATGACCTCAGCCAAGCTATCTTAGGGCTCTCTGAGCCCTGCTTTGACACTCAGAGAAATCAAGGCCCAAACAGGGCCAAGGGCCCTCACAAGGTTACGGAGAAAACCAGTAATGGAGCCAGCAGCAGAAAATGCTGGGTCATCATCTCATCATCCCGCCCTCCCAACCACCCCAGCAGACAGAGCTCATTCTCACTCCCAGTTTATAGCAGAGGAAAGAGACTCTGGGACACTGGCCCAGGTCACGCTTGGCTAAGTGTGAGGTGAGACGCCCAGGTGCAAATCCCAAACACATGCCCTGCTCTTTCCAGCTGCTCTCATTAGGGTTAGAGGCCACAGAATGCAGTGAGCAAGCACCTCTCTTGGGTGTGAGGGGTGACTCTGTGCTCCCCAAGCCAGAGCAGCTGAACACCCAGCCTGCAAGCTCTGTGGGTGACATGCCCTCCTGCCATGCTGCACTGCCAATACAATGCACCTCACTTAGCCCTGTATGACCAGTACGCTTGGTGATCAGCTCAGTGATAGACGACCATTTCTAATCCACAAAAGTACCTTCTATCACAGCCCTTTGCATCCTGCTGACAGGCACCCCAGCTTATGGGGAAAGTGCTGGGTGATGGGGAGGGCAGAGGGGAAGTTCTGGTTCTAGGCATGCCCGGTGACCTCTGCCATTCTCAGTTTCCCTGTCTGTGATAAGGCAATAAAGAGATAAAGCCGTGGGCTGGATCCCCAGGAGGAGGCAGGGCCAGCCTGACACCAGGCTCCCTAGCAGGAGGGGTTCAATCCTTCCAGAGACTTTGAAGGCACAGCTCCCAGGCTGCTTGGGAACACTTCATTAACTCAAATTGCAAATTTCCTCCTGACTGTATCTCTAAGCAACAGGGGCTCCCCGGCCACCAGCTTTCCAGTGACAGATAAAGATTATAGTCACTGCTCCAGACAGAATCAAGTAGCAGAAGTCATTATGCAGAAATAATTATGTTGAGTTATGTCTGGTTGCTCTTGATTTCTGTCTAGTGACCACCTTACAAATTGTCATGCCTCCTCTTCCCTAGAAGAGCAAAATGCGGAGGCCTGGGTGACCTAGATCTGCTGCTCCAGTGCCCCTTGCCCAAGGCTGGGTGATAGGCATCCTAGGGTAAGGTGCTCTGTGAGGCCCTTTGGCCCCCTGTAGGGGAACACACTCACACACTCCCCACCTGGGCCCTGCACTGGAGCCCGCCTTCAAAGTCCCTTTCACACCTCACTTTCTCCATGGGGCCCTTCCTGACAACTGACGTCCTCCAAACCTTTTCTCCTGCCAGGCCTCAGGCCATTCCCTCTTCAGCTATCTGGGAGGGAAGTTGGGCCATGGACGGGTCTCACCCGTTCTTGTGCTCCCAACTCCAAGCACAGAACTAGCCCAAAGCAGGGCCTCCGGAGACAAGCAAGAGGGCTGTGGGGGGGAACAGACTGGGCTCACAGCCCCGCTCGACTGCTTCCTAGCTGTGTGACCTTGATCCACTTTTTAACTTCTCCCTGTTTTTGTTTCCGCATTTGTAACATGGAGATGGCAATAATACTACCGAGTTCATCAAGTTTTTGTCATGATTAAATGAGATAATGTACAAAAAACGTGTGGGTGGTACAAAGGAAGAACGCAGTAAACATTGACTATGACTGACAGGGCAGGGTGAGGCCTGTAAGAATCTAAGCTAGAAACAAACACAACCAAAAATGACTCAAGAAAGAGACCGTTTGAAAGGTCTATAACAAGGGAAGAGATTGAATTGTAATCAAAAAATAACCCACAAAGAAAAGCTGGGCTCAAATGGCTTCACTGCTGAATTCTACAAATATTTAAAGAATACCAACTCTTCACAAACTCCTCCAGAAAACAGAAATGGAGGGTACACTTCCCAACTCATTGTAAGAGGTCAGTATTAGCCTGCTACCAAAACCAGAGAAAGACTTCAGAAGAGAACAAAACTACAGACCAATATTTCTTATGGATATGGACGCAAAAATCCTCAGCCAAATAGTAGCACACCAAATGGAGCAACATACAAAAAGGATTACGTAGCATGACCAAGTGGGATCTATCCCAGTAATGCAAGGATGGCTTACCATCTGAAAATTAATTAATGTAATATATCATATCAATAAGTTAAAAAACAAGAGTCACATGCTCATCTCAATAGATGCAGAAAAGCATTTGACAATATCCAACACTTTGGCATGATAAAAACACTCAAAAAACTAGTAGTCGGCTACTTCCTCAATCTGATAAAGGGCACCTACAAAAAACTCACAGCTAACATCGTATTTAATGGTGAAAGACTGGATGCTTTCCTCTTAAGATTAGGAATGAGACAAGGATACTTTCTCTTGCAACTTCTATTCAAAATTATACTGGAGGTTCTAACCATGGCATTTAGGCAAGAAAAAGAAATACAAGGCATCCAAATTGAAAAGGAAGAAGTAAAACTATCTCTATTTGCTGATGACACAATTTTACATACAGCAAATCCTAAGGAATCTGCTAAAAACCATTAGAACTAATAAGATCAGCAAGGTTGCTAGATACAAGATCAATACACAAATATCAATTGTATTTCTATATACTTACAATTCAAAAATGAAATTAAGAAAACAATTCCATAAACAACAGCATCAAGAATAAAATAGGAACGAATTTAACAAAAGAAGTGGAAAACTCATACTCTGGAAACTACAAAACATTGTTGAAAGAAATTAAGGAAGATATAAATAACTGTGAAACAATCCCATGTTCATTAATTAGAACACTTAAGATTGTTAAGGTGAAAATACTCCCGAAACTGATGTACAGATCCAATGCAATCCCCGTCAGAATCTCAGCCTACTTTGTAGAAATTGAAAAGGTGATTTTAAAATTTATATGTAATTGTAAAGGACCCAGGGTAGGCAAAACAATCCTGAAAAAGAAAAACAATGTATGAGAACTCAAACCTTCACTTCAAAGCTTTCCACAAAGCAATAGTAATCATGACAGTGTGGTACTGGCACAAGGAGAGATGTATAGATCAACAAAATAGAATTGGAAGTCCAGAAATAAACCCACATGTTTATGGTTAACTGATTTCAACAAGGTGCTGAGACCAGCCAATGGGAAAGAATAATCTTTTCGACAAATGATACTGGACAACTGAATAGCCACATGCCACAGAGTGAAGTTGGACCCTTATCCAAGACCATATATAAAAATTAACTCAAAACAGATCAGAGATCTAAATGTAAGAGCTAAAACTGTGGAAATCTTAGAAGAAAAC